ATAAGTATAAAATGGCAAAGGTAATTAGTAAGCAGTATTGTTGACTGCACCATGTACAAGTTAGTAAGCTGATTGCTCTATGTCCTTAATCTATATTTTGTACTATGACGTTTAAACAAAAATTGAAATAGGGCATTAGATTTTTTAAATAAGATATTACAAAGTTATTCCTATAAGACGAAAGAAAAGGTAAAGCTACCTGAGTGGTGAAAAACGGCAGCCAGCAGATAGTAAAGCATCCCATGATGACACCCAGTGTTAGCACTGCTTTATTATGAGAGTCACTTTCAGAGGATCTGAACACATTGCTTTTCTCTGATGCAGGCTTCCAATTTGAATTCGCTCCTTGCTCATCCGGCGTGGTCTGCATATCTCTGATCGTCATTGGATTGGACTTGGATTCTGCCTCACATTCTGACACTTCTCCATTATACTGGTTGCCATTAAACAATATCTCTTCTTTACTCAACCGTAGCATTGTCTGCTTTGAGTGGCGTCTGCCCAGACCAAGTACAGTAGGCATTTCGACTGCGTCTGGGGAATGGTCTTTCATAGTTAAAGAATTCTTTTGCTGCACCTTGCCGTCTTTTGATCTGGCCGCATTCGTTCTAATTTCCTTGTTCGACAGAGTGTTGTGAGACTTAGTCGAGGACGAGGAACCCATGACCGGCGACATTCCGGAACTTGATTCATACTGTGTAATTGGACTGGCCTTAAACTGGACTATGCGTACTGGACACCAGGTCTTCCGCCTCAACCATCTGTTAAAGCGAGCACTATCGAGAAGAAAAAGCTTTCCGGGAAGCAAATGATTGGCATGGCTACCATTTGAAAAGCCCCAAATGTCTACATTCTTATGGCCTATGCTTTGCACAAGAACTTCTTCCTCTTCTAAGTTGTTGATATTCTTACTTATTTCATAATTTTTTATTTGCCAAACAGACTCCTCAAATGGACCAGCCATACCAACGGAAAAATTAACTGGGGTAGGCGAATTCCATTTACTGCTTTGTTTGGCGTCCTTGTGAGCCATTCTCCGTGCCACTAAGAAGATGCGACCATACAGAATGAGCATTACAGATAGTGGGAGAAAAAAAGCTGAAAATATCGCATAAAACTGGTAGGTTGGCTCGTTGTTGTAGGCACACTGGTAGCCAAAATCAGGCCTATCCCATCCGAAAAGTGGTGTAACTGATATTAAAGCCGATACTGTCCAACAAAGTAGTATCATCAGAATCATCTTGCAAGTGGTTCTTCTCCGTGGATAGTCCAGTGGGCTGTTGATAGCCATAAATCGGTCTATGGATATGGCACACAGACCAAGTATAGACGAAGTGCAGAGGAGAACGTCAGCAAGGATATATAGAGTGCATACAGATTGATCTAGGCGCCAAAATCCTTCTAGCTGGTAGATAATTGCGAATGGTAGCACTAACACACTAACAAGAAAATCAGACAATGCCAGATTCAAAATGAGTAGATTACCCGGAGTGCGCAATCGCCGAACCAGCAGGACAGCTAAAATAATGAGAAGGTTGCCAATTGCAGTCCCTAAGGCAAGTAGGCCAAGAAGAAGTCCGACAAAAATTGCTTGTGTGGGTGTGTATGGGCTGCTGCAAGCAAGCAATTGCTCTAATGGCACAGGGTCGAAAAGCTGGGCACAAATATCCTCTGATGACAAGAACATTGCAGATGACGTTGAATTCGCCTCTTTATCCACAGGGCTGGTGGCATTTATCTTCATCTTGATACCACAAGCTATTCCAGCTTTATTGGTGATACAAGTTCCTCAAGCCCTGCCGAGCTCAGGCACTAAATGTATAAAGCAGTCTCGGATCTGACAACATCAATGAAAAGATGCTCTCAATTCGATGCTGTATTTACTATAGGACGAAGAGCACAATCATAGATCCACAAAGATGCTTTAAGATCAACAACTATAGTGGACATTATCAAAAGGCAAAACAACTTTCCGCACCAACCAATCATAAGCAGCAGACAAATGATTGGCTGGGAGCTTCTCACCTGCTGGCCTATATTATCATACTCTGCTGTAAAGCTCATCTCAGTTGGAATAAGAAAGAATAATCCTTGGTGATTTTAGAAATCCGACGAGGAGTCCAAAAAATAATACTAATAATCTTACATAAAAATGTTGGCTAAATTAATTTGCCTTTCTTTAAATGTACAAAAAAATGTTAAGATAAGATGAATTTATCTATTATTGAATATCGGGTATGATAAAAATACGAGGTAAACACAAATAAAATCTTTATCAAGAAATACACAACGACTAAACTATCAAATAAAATCGCAGCTATACGTTTAGTCCTATTTTGTTAAACTATTTCTAGTGTATTGATTTTTCGATTTAATGAGTACACATATTTAGTTCAATATAGTTAGGAAATCTGAGCCATGGTTTTATGGTTTTTAAAAAAAGATTATGCATATAATCATCATGATTAATTATATACCCATTAAAATTAAGGATTAATATTTGACTTAAGAGACAATAATCGAAAGTTAATGCAATTTAGGCTCAGCAGAAGCATTTCACGAATCTCTGTTACTGAAGTCAGTAGAAGTGGATTCATCTCGTTTTCACAACTTGATCTTGTTGTCAGGATGACTTAGTAGAACACACCCTATCCGAGGTCCTATGTCATAGAAGTTAACATAATTCCTAGCATCATACTATGGACTTGGTACATTCTCACATATTTCGCCGGCATCGCAGTCAGCATCATCAGTGAGTGTTTCCAGTCTCCGCACCAAGCCACGAACTCGTCAATGAGGCAATTGAAGTCAATGCCTCGACCGATGTTTTGCCGAAAACGGTTACACTATCATTCCTCTTTCTGTCCTGACCCATCTATCAATTCTTTGCGCTCTAATCACAACATCTGACTTGGTTACATTCCATTCGTCAAAATGTGTACCATTTTCTGGCAAATCCAGTATGCCTGATCCAACTCTGGCCTCCGATCTAGATCCCTTCATTGTCTCGTAGATCCGTTTCTTCTCTTTCTGGTTGACCGATTTCACTCGGTTTCAGTCCCATTGTGCATTTTACTCTAGGCGCTTTTTCTCAAGGCCCTAGAAGCACGTACACTGACGCCTCACTAAGCAGATCGCCTAAACTCAGATTCCCATGCTTGCAGATATCAGGCTATCCCCTCAGGGATCCACTCCCTGATTAAACCCATGTAATCCGATCAAAGTGTGTACGTCCATCTCTCGTCTTATGCGGCATCTAAAGTGAATTTATAGTAAATTTTGGCGGTTTGCTTATCCATCCGCCTAGCTCCCTGACTTCTAGGCTCCCAAAGTTGTACTGGTTTATTCGAAATGGACATCACTCACTGAAAACGTCTTCGCTTGAATGCGAAACTCACCGCCCCCCAATTTCCGCCGATAGCGATAGATCCCTAATCCAGGCGTCTCCTTTTTGCTGGTCTTGCTCTATTCTTGTTTCTTTTCGAGTTTGCTTTGGCAGTAGGCTAAGTTATCTCTAACTCCACCTTCCTCCAATCTCATGCTCAACAGAATTTTTTCCCATATATATGTCAATGACATCTATAATCCTCCACTTCCTTGTGTTTTTCCCGTATGAGTCCCTTCTTTATGATTCCTTCCTATTGATCTCGTGTCCAGTCTGTGCAATGGGTTCCGCTAATTGTGATATTTCGATATCCATTCTCCTAAATACCCAATATTTGCAAGCATGGGAATCAAAGCTTAGGCGCTCTTTTCGGTACGTGCTTCCATGGCCTTGTGAAATAACGCCTGGAGTGAAATGTACACTGGGAGTGAAACCGAGTGAAATCGGTCAACCAGAAAGATAAGAAACAGATCTACGAGACAATGAGGAAATCCGGATT